CAGACTCCTGGGTTAATTTTTCGGGGACAGCTAACTAGCAGTCTATACCCACAACTGGCCAGCCCTATCTCTCCTTCCCCTAGCTTACCCAAGGCCAGGCGGAGCCCAGGCTGACAGTCCTACCATCCTTCCCCTGGCTTGTCCCCTAACTTAGGCCAGACGGATCTCAGACCTGCTGTGGGTAACTACCGTATGTCTGTACCCTGGAGTCTCCAAAACCCCCCTGTCTACCAAAGTTCCAGCCATAACCTCCGAAGTCCTATCCCACTAAAACATCTGCAGAATTCAATGTTCAAAAATCCCAATTAGGAAAAAAAAAAAAAAATCATGAAAAAACGAAATAAAGAAAATTCACCTTACCCCAATCAGGGGGAAACGTTATGTCTGAAATTGCTACTACAAATAGTAGTAATCAAGAGCTAAGTAATCAAGAAGTAGGTAATCGGGATGTAGGTAATCAAGATATAGGTAATCTAGATGTAGGTAATCAAGATATAGCTAATCAGGATGTAGATATTAATGACTATTGGATAATTGGGTAGCCAAAAACGGTACCCTGAGACTAAAAGGTGTTCAGATGATATTAATATTGATGATGGTAGTGATGATGATGGAAATGTTATAAATGACTATTTGAGTGAAACGGTAGCCTAAAGATAGTGGTGGCCATCAACTTCGCCTACCTGATGATGATGATGATGATAATAATGGTGATGATGATGATGATGATGATGATGATGATGATGATGACGATGATGATGACGACGACGACGCACAGCGCCCGGCAATCACAAGGATGATGGTGATGATGAATCACCTCCTGTTGGTGACGTTGATGCTGCTGCTGATGATGACGATGACGAGCAGCCCCCTAAAGATGATGATGCTGACAAACCTTGATGATGATGATGATGATGACGAATATCAGTTTGATGACGAATAGCGCCCAGCGCTCTGATGATGATGACTCCCAGCGCCCTGATGATGATGGCGAGCCATTATCGGGATGCTGATGTCGATGGTGGTGATGAACCACACCTTGATGATGATGATGATGATGATGATGATGATGATGATGATGATGATGATGATAACGACTACGCACAGCGCCCTGAGGTGACGTTGATGCTGCTGCTGCTGATGACGATGACGAGCAGCCCCCTAAAGATGATGATGCCGACAAACCTTGATGATGATGATGATGATGATGACGAATATCAGTTTGATGACGAATAGCGCCCAGCGCTCTGATGATGACGACTCCCAGCGCCCTGATGATGATGGCGAGCCATGGTGGTGATGAACCACACCCTGATGATGCTGATGATGCTGATAGTGATGATGATAACGGCTACGCATAGCGCCCTGCGAGCACCAAAGGATGATAGTGATGATGAATCACCCCCTTGATGATGATGATGACGAAACTCGTGATGATGATGGTGATGATGATGATGATGTTTTGAAGATGATGATGATGGTGATGATGATGATGATGATGATGATGATGACGACGATGACGCACTGCACCCTGCGGTCAGAAAAGGATGAAGGTGATGATGAGTCACCTCCTGTTGATGACGTTGTCGCTGCTGCTGATGATGATGATGACGAGCAGCCCCCTAATGATGCTGATGCCGACAAACCTTAACGATGAGGATGACGAACGTCAGCTTGATGACGAACAGCGCCCGGCGCTCTGATGATGATGACGGCCAGCGCCCTGATGATGGTGGTGAACATTTTCGGAATAATGATGTCGATGGTGATGATGAGCCGCACCCTGATGATGATGATGATGATGATGATGATGATAACGGCGACGCACAGCGCCCTGCGATAGTGATGATGGATCACCCCCTTGATGATGATGATGACGAAACTCGGCTTGATGACGAACAGCGCCCAGCGGCCTGATGATGATGACGCGGCCGATAACCTAACTCTGAGTTTGCTCTATATACATCTACGGATCTCTCTCTCTCTCTCTCTCTCTCTCTCTCTCTCTCTCTCTCTCTCTCTCTCTCTCTCTCT